ATTTAAATATTAAAATAAAGATATTTATTTTACTGCTCTTGATAATTCTTCAAAATTTGGTGAGTAATTGGGGACAGCACTTCTCAGTAATTCCTTGAGATGATGGTTAGTTAACACTGATCGGTGTTTGGATTTCACGAATTTTGAAGTGGAATAAAATGATTCACGTACATTACAGAAATATACATTACATAAGTACGTTGTTCCGAATATTGATATAATTCAACAAACAGCCTTTTTTAATTCAGGATACTTCGATTCTGGTACAAATTTCCAAAATTCGGTAATCGACGTCGACTTATATTTTAATTGTAGAGCGTGATCTTCTTGCATCTCTATTAATTCTAGTTCTCCAGATGCTTTTTATGTAATAATTATATTGGATATGGAAAACTCACCTTGAATTGAACGACGTTGCACTTAGTTTTTCATACTTGTTCTCAGTAATTCAAAAGACATTTTGAAACACATACGGAACGATAGTAATTTTTTTTAAAATGCGAGTATAATCGTTTTAATATGAGTGAATTCAGATAATTACACAAAAATGAAAAGAGAAGTAGGGTACATTTATCGAGAGCCACAAATAATCCATCAAAGAGCCGCATGTCGCTCGTGAGCCGCAAGTTGGCCGCCCCTGGTCTAGTAGAAAGGTTTTGGGTAAATTTAGCGAATTCGTTAGCCTTTTCATTACCCAGAATAACCCAAAATTTGCAAATTTACATAAGTATACGCAACATTACCTACGATCGCATGAGACTTGTGCGTAATATTGCTAAGTGCTGCCAGACATATTTTAGAATCTGTATAAGTGTGCCATTTTTTCTGCGTCTGGGTAGGGATAAATTGTAGAGCTAATAAGATGGCGCGAGCTTACATGTAAAAACTAAACAAGATTTATGCAATTTTTTGGTGATGATTTTATTCGGCGTGTCCACTGCAGATGCTGATGAGACCATCATTTTTCGAGCAATCAATAAAAATGAGGTTAAAATCCTGATACTGTTCACGATGCGAATTAAACATTTGTCGGTTTGTTAAAGTGGTACATTAAAGTGGTAAAGTACATCTCTTGTTTTGTCTGATTTTTAAAAATATCAATGGTGTTAAAATACATTACATTCCAAGGTGTTAGTTGCTTATATGGTGGTAAAATTTCTTAATCCTCCAAATCTAAAATATTTATCCATTTGATTCAAAACTTTATTTTTAAATTGAAATAGCTTGATAAAACTTGATATTTTTTTTAATCAAAGCAGCATTTTTAGACTAAAAGGACATTTATTTTGATTTATGTCCCAAGTAACAATATATTAAAAAATTGGTTTAATTACTTGTGCACTTTAATACAATAATATATTTTTACTAACCCTGTGATATAGGACAAGTAAAGACAAAAAGAACTATTTTTGTTAAGGAAAGATTATTAAAAATAAACATCCAAATTTACTTCCTTATCAGAGATAAAAATTCATATTTTACTTAAAACGTTTGATTAGCTCAAAATGTTTATTTTTTGTTTTGTTTAGGTTTTTTTGTAAAAATTATAAAAATTGGTCAGACTAGTTTTTCTTTCCCCTAAATATTTATTTAATAGTTGAAAAATAGTTTTCTCTCTCTCTAGTTAAATGCTATAACTCTCTTTCGATTTACCAAATAATTTAAATAATCAAATATAAGTATATTCCAGTTTTTCATTTAATTTACATTTTTTACGACTGAAACTGACCATAGAAATTGGCTTATACACATTTCTTTTGAAATAAAAAGGTCAATTGATTTTTTATGTCTCTTTTTAGAATAAACATATAAAATTATAGATTTCTGGAAATTCTTTATCTTCTACTATTACATAGGATAATTTTGAGAAAATCACATCTAATTTTGAGATTTTACATAGGCCAATTTTGAGAGAATCAATTTCAAAATTTTTTTATTTCAACAATAAAAAAATGCAGCCGCTTTTTTAAGACAAAAAGTTTTTTTTAAATGATGATTAAGAAGTTGCTTTTAAAAATTTTAAAAATTTTTTAAAGAATTATTTCAGTATCATTAGCTGGACTAGAAAATGTAAGAATGTTTTTGTACCACTCAAATTAGCTTATTTTTAGTAAAAATAAAGCTTAACGTTAGCTTATTTTTAGTAAAAATAGAGCTTAACTAATAAAAAAAATTACACTTAGATACCTTACGTGAATTAATGGAATGAAATAAATTAAAACCATTTCTACTATGCTTTTGTGCTTCCAAAAATAGTTTTTGATAAAGAAAGATAATTTATAATTCTAAAGATATTCTACAGTACAGTATACTTTTAAATTTAGAAATACTCAAGCTTTCAGGAATACTCTCAAAAAGCGGATTATAGAATCTTAAGTTTATATACATAGACATGAAAAGCAAGAGTAAAAAGGAGAATGTAATAGAATATCAGTCCTTACGTTTCCATGTGAAATTTGTGTTTGAAATTGAATACCAAACATAGGGAATCCTCTTATTTAAAAGCTGTTACTTTTCCTATGACAATACAATGTTTGAAGATGAGAATATATATAGGTTTTATTTTTTTGGTAGTGTTTGCACAGTATTTATTTCTCTCGTGTTTTTATGAGTAAGATAATCTTGTATTCATGGTAGCTTTTTGTTTAACTTGTAATGTAAAAATGAGAAATTTAAAGTGCTTTTTATAAACATGAGAAAAACAAATATTTTTAATTTTGAGGATGTTAAACATGCTTTAACTTTTAAATATTTTAAAATGAAATTTCTATCTTTTCGTGGAATTAAGTTTCTTTAATTAAATTTAAATTTATTATCAATTTTCAAAAACCTAAATTTGGCATATTGGATACTGTTGCACGTAAAAGACAACTTTTCTTACTTTAAAAAAAAAAAGTCTCAAAATATGCCCAAAGTTCAAAAAGTAAAGAAAACACGGAAAATAAACATAAAAAGCTTCAATTAATCTTTCTATGTTAGTTCTTTTCTGAATATCCCTTTCTTTTATTTTATTAACCTAATCGAAATGCTTTCTCACACTTTTAAATTCACATCCTGTTCTTAAATCTATTTTTGGCTCAACTATGCATTAATTAAAAGCAGGACATTTTACCCTTTAATTTTCGCGGGACTCACTCGATCTATTTCATAAACCAATAGTAATTTCTAAGATTTCCCTCTTTTCCCTAAATAGAGACATTTACGGATTTTACTTTGCAAGATTTTTCCTAAACCGAGGAGCGCAACTTTTCGTACACATCTTTCATTCCTACTTCGTCTAATAATTAATAAATAAATTTTGTACCCGCCTTCCCTGCGTAGGACCTGTTTTAATCCTTCCACTCGGCAACGACGNTATATATATATATACGTATTCTAACTTTGAATTCTCCGTTTCACCCCTTCGTGTGACAAACCAATGTGTTTTTATGCTTTCAATCCCATCTTTACTGTGAATATACCTAGATAATGACTTAAATATTAATTTATCTGCTCATAAAATTATAAATTTTTTGAATATTAATTTAAATTGTAAAATTTTATCATTACAAAATTATAAAAATTAAATTATAAAATATTATCATTACAACAGCGATTACTGAAGAAGCTACATAGTTTTTGAAAAAAAAACTAAAAAGATTTTTTTATTGCTTTAGTCATATATATATATAAATTCTACATTAAAAAGAATTTTAAAAAAAAACTTGATATTTTGAAAGAAATTATAGTAATTTGCAACACGGAAGGAAATAAGTAAGTTCTCTAAAGTATAAACTACAACTTATAAAATTTAATTACCTGAAATTCCCGTCTGAGTTTGTTAAAAAGCAGAAAAAAGTCTTTTTTCTGATTTACTAGGCATTTTTTCGGGAAATAGTACTTGTTTGATAGATAGAAGTAACGAAATTAGTTGAAGCCAGATGAAAGAAACTTAGCAGGAAACTTTTAGAACAGTAATTTCTTGCTTCAGTGAAAATGTGTTTATCTTCTGACAGGCAGTGACGATTATAGAGAATATTAGAAAAGTAAAAGTTTCTTTTTTGCAATTTTATCAAATCGAATGACACAATAAATTCTTTTTTTTTTATATATTCCTTTTAGATATATTTAAAAACTTTTCTCAATTTCAGTTTTAATTCTTCCTTATAGTCTATATGATAATCTGTTAAACTTGTAGCGCGATTGCAAATAACATTAAGACTGTTCCAATTTAAGTAAAAAATTATAGAATTTACGTTAGAATCATAATACTACGATTAATAATACGGGGAAGGTCACTGTTGACTTTGGAACGTTCTAATACAATCAGTTCGACGGGGTTGAGTGAAGAACGAAATGAAGTTTTTGCTTGGTTTAGGACCATAGACAAAAATTAAATTGGAAACCTGAAAGTTTGGACCTGATGTTATATTTGGTAAATCATGACATTTGTCGATCTAGTAGCCAATCAGGTTCGACACGCAAGCCTGACTTGGCGTCGCTTACCTGGTCGCCAGTTTATTCTTATTTAGATTTCATACTAAGTCATGATCACTTTACCTTTTTTTTCGAGTTACCAGTACCCAATTGAAGAAGATTGCGTTTTTGTTTTATTTTAAACGGAATATTTGTGTTGTTTTCTAGTTTATAGCTCTCATTAAAAAAGGAAATTATTACACATTTTTTAACATTAAAATCTTTTATATTTGTTATGCTAAATTAACTTAATGGTCTCTGCCTAATGATTATAGGTGGACAACGTTACTAAAATAATATTTCTGAACATATCTAAAACCTTAGAACTAAGAAACTAAGTTTCTATGAAAGTAAGTAAGTTAAAATCAGCGGTAATTGAAATAAAGAGATAAGTTATTTACTAATAAGTCAAATTAATTGAGAGATAATTGAGAAATAATTTTAACTCGCTCAAAAGATGTTTGATTAATCTTGGTAATGAAATTTAATTGAAATTACAAAAAAGCTACATAGGTTACCTTAATAAAGTAAATTTAAACAAAATATCACGACAAAATCAATTTTATTCTTGCTACAAAAGAATTCTTTGTTTAAAAATCATTGAAACTGTCTGGTGTTAATTATTTTCGCCTGATTGAAGCCTAGAAGACTTCAATATTACTAAGTATTTTCAGACAAAATAATTCAAAATTTTGCAATAAATATAAAAAGACTAACGATGTATAAAATTATATTTGGTATAAGAAAAGAATGACAATATAAAAAACAATATAATTTGGTGAATCTTTAAACCTATTTGTTTTTCTTCAAAGATATTTCATCGTTTTTAATTTTTTTTTCTTCATGTTATTGGTTTTTGTATATTATTTCATGGTTTATCCAACCTTCCAACAATTTCTGCAGTATTCAGTCTGGGGTATTCCAACACATGATGAATTGCACCTTGTTCTTCTGGTAACAATTTTGTGCTGATGAAACAATCCATTATTGTCGCTGAAAGAGGTAAAAAAAAATATTTATGGTAAACGAGGAAGAATGCAATAGATACGTTATAATACAAAAGAAAACTGTAAATGATGGGCCATATTAAGCTATGTAGCATGGAAAAAAAATTTACGTTCTTTTTTTTTATTCGAGTTTTTCTAAGGTGCTGAAAATCTTTCTTGCCTTGGTGGCTGAAGAATCTTACAATGATGAAATCGCTGGCTAAAAAAATCTTAGATAAATTTTGAAATCACATATATGCATCGAAACATTTCACCAACTGTGTTTGGGAAACTTATGCTTCCTTGGTCGTTATATAAGCTCTTTTGAAAACAAAAAAAGTCCTTCAATAGATTTCTACTAAAGTAGAAAAAAAGCAAAAGACATTCAAAAATGGTGCAGAGCACATTTTCCTGATTTTTTTGCAGCACAAAAACTTCTTATCCACCAAACTTAAGTCAAATGGATTTTCTGTCTGGTTTATCTTAAAGACAGGTGTTACTGCCAAATCTCAGAAAACCTACTTCGATTTCTCCAAATAATTCCTTTTTCAAGGAAGGTGAACTCAATTTGAGAATAAAAAGAAAAAATGGATATGATATGCGTATATGGGATCACCTATGAGCATATGGGATTAGTGGAGGAGAATCCAGGCTAAATAATCGAAAATGCATCCAAACTTAACAATTTAATAACAGAAAAATAATATCCCATGAATGACAATTTATAAGGGCATATCTACACGCAATGACACACACATTACATCAACCACATAGTCTCAGAATGCTTCAGTTAAGCTCAATTCACAAATACGCTGGCCGCTCTCTTCTTGTGAAGTCCAATGTAGGACCGAATCCCATGTGTATATGACACAATTCAGAAAAAAATCTAAAATTATACCCGATTTGGTGAAAATTAATTATTACATTGAATGTAGTTTTTAATGGCACAAAGTCTAAATGAGGTCATGCTGGGTCAAACAACGCGATTTTACAGATCAAAAGCTACACTTACTTGCACAAAAACATTAAACATTGATAAAATGGTACAGGAATAATTAAATATAATAATTAAATAAAATCAGTAAAAATTGTCCATTCAATAAAATTTTATGAAATAGCTAAAATGGTACAAAGGTAAGAATATACTTATAAAAGTTAGTTTGTTATTATTTCTAGTGTAAGAACCATATCAGGATATGCTGCACTGCTCACTTGGTAAAAGTATTGTCGAAGGGTAAAAATTGATTTAAATCATTGAGTAAAAGCCAATATCAGCAAGATAAAATATAATATTTTTGTGAATTAGAACCATTTAGAACCTGCAAATTCGTGATTGTTGTTGTCTAGGTTGTTTGCTTTTAATGCACTGGGTCAAAATAGGTTTCAGTGTTAAAGTTCTTTGATACCTTGAACATACAGGAGCTGGTCCATCAAATAAATGTTAATGGGTGAAGCGTGTGTGTCCAATTCGTAAATAATTTATAATGACTTCGAATTTTCCAGGCATATTTAATGCGTTTTAATGGGCGTTTTAATGGAACTATTGATGACATTATTTGAAACGGTTTATTATTAATTTCTCTCACTCATGCTGTTTTCCATGTCTCAGCTAATGTATTATTTATTACATTTTTAATATCTGTATTTCAGTGGTTGACTCGAGTTGTTTTGAGTAGTTTTTGTCATTTCATCTTCCTTTTTACTTTCTGAAATTCCAACATGACCAGGGATCAAGGATAGAAGAATATCATAATTACCATTCGTCAATTTGTTGTAAAAATAATAAATATATGGGGGAAAATGGTATGAGGATTATTTACTCCATATCGTAATGCATCATAAACGAGAATAAAATCACAAATTGATTAAAATTTATTTACAATTAAAAATACCAATATCATGTAAAAATGCAGAAATGTTAGGATGATTGGTATCACCTAACAAATCCTTTATAGATAAAATAGAACTACTAAGATATGTAAGACGATGTTGGTTAAAGCACTGGCAAATAATTAAAATACTATTAATCGAAATTAAAACATTCCAAGTGAGGCATTGAAGAGGAGGTTCCCCAAATAACAAATATAGATAAGTCAGTCTAGTATGCTCGATTCGGAGTCGGGTAAATTTAAGATCTGCACTATAGAGACAACGCAAGTAAGGGGTCCAAATTTAATTTAGTCACGTGCTTATAAAAAGATTTTAACAATTGTCTGATATGTACTTTTATATCTGCGAGAGGTGTAGATAAATTTAAGGGAGTAGTAGATCACGCGGCGATAGCGGTAAAATCATTGACCATGATTCCAACATGACTTGGTATTTAGCAAAATAAAATATCGAAATCAGTTAATGAAGATTAAATAATTAATGCTGTATAAAAAAAGTGGATGGTTTTTCCGTCAAATTGTTACAGTTCGCGAATTACACTCATACTATCCGAATAAATGTAGTATTTTCGAGTCGAACCTGCTGAAATAAGCCGTTTTGCTAATAGAATGGCAACGGCTTCAGCGGTGAACACGGCACTCATAGCTGGTATTTTTATAGCTGTAAGTGGTATCAGCATTAAAACTACCACAGCCTACATAGACAAGAGATTTTGAGCCATCTGTGAAAACTGGAACATACTGACAAAATTGATGACGATGAGCTTCGTGTAGTTGCTTGAAAATGGTAGACACTGCACGAAATTTACTATATGAATTAAATAGAGAATGGAAATGGTATTGTGAAAGGTTCCTTAGTTTCCACCTTGGATTGAATAGATATGCACGTGATCGACTGACTATGTAGGTGATTCACAAATGTTGAATGTTTGGTTGAGTAATCCCATGCGAGCATTAAAAGGGTTAATAAGAAAATTACTTAAGTGATTTTACAGTTTGCAATTTTTGTAAACTGTTTACTTTATATGTTCAGATTTACCAGATTTTTTTTTTGCACTCTCATTTTTCGGTATCGTATATTCTAGGCTAAATATGAACAATAAGCGATGTATTGGCCTATTTACAAAAATACTAGATTATAAAGATACTAGATAAAGATGCTAACTTATCCGGGTTCGACAAAATACTATAAGAAGCGGCAGATAACTATAAACAGAAATTTACAGAACAATTTTTTAGCAAGGTGAACATGTCATGACTGTAACAAAGTGATGTTTTACATAACCATTTGAATTATTTAGAAATAGTGGTGAGTAAAAATCCTATCAATCGAGTTTACCAAACCAAGAATCCTACATTAAGCACTATCGCTAAAAATATTTATAGGCATTCTGGAGTCAGTTGACATCTCGGTTTGAGGCATATACGCCCCCTGTGCACTGCCGTTCACCTATTCCGATTATTTCTTCGCAATAATTGTTATTCTTAATCATAAAACAGTTTCTTCATCAAATTTTGAAATTATTCAATTAATAAGCTCACCGGTCACCCTAGTGTGCAAGCATCGATGAATCGTTAGGCTTTGTTAGATGACGCAGTGGTCAAGTGACGTGCTCAGCTGTGTGCATACTGCTTCAACATGATCAAAGACAAGTAGCTATCACTGAAATATTTTCGTCTGAAGCGGAAATTGTGTGTAAATATGGGTAAGTGTAAGGACTTGAAAGAGGGGCAAAACGAGGCAATTTTGTTTGGCCATGCCCATAGTCATACGGTGAATTAAGTTGCTGAATTTGTTGGTGTTTCAATGCGGACTGTTCAATGTATCTACAAGCAATGGTGTAATACACGTGGTCACAAAGAAGACATCAGAATTGTGGTCGGAAAAAGATCCTGCTTGAAAGGAAACGGAAACGTGTTTCGCGAATTTTCAATCACAATCGCTTCCAAACCCGACAGGAATTGCTTCAGTTAGCAAATGAAGGTTCATCCCAATCTGTTAGTGAGAAAACATTGCGACGGGAGCTACATGCAATGGACATTCCTAAGAGGCCATTGCTCACACTGGCACATAAAGTTGCGCAGCTTCAGTGTGCTAGAAGTCTCCGAACGTGGAGAGTTGCTGACCTTCGGAATGTAATATGGTATGACAAATTACATTTTCGCCTTTATTCCAAAAACGCACTTCATCGAGTGCAACGGAGAGCAGATGAAGCATTTCATCCTGACTGTGTGCAAGGTCAGTTTCAAGCCGAAAGTGAGTCTGTAATATTTTGGGGGCGTTTTTCTAATTATGGAGTGAATCCCCCTCATTAAGGTGACCACTAACATGAACCAGCGTGTTTATTTGAACAATCTGTATGATTAGATGTTGCGTTTCAGTCAACATCTTCATGAAGAGTGTTTTGTTGATACCCCAATTTTCAAGATGGCAACATCAAAGTTCATAGGGCTGAAGGAGTATGTGACGGGTTTTATGAACGCTCAGCCACTCAATTGCATCTCAACCGGCCGGCAAAGTCACCTAAGTTAAACCCCATTGGAAATTTGTGGGTCACGTTGGAACAACGGATAAAACGCGGAAAGCATCATTCACGCAATTTGGTGGATTTGGGCAATCAAATCTTCCGCGAGTGGCTTACACTGGCTTCGACGTATCTGCAAAACCTTGTGAACTCACTTCCTAACCGAATCCAGGTGGTTATCGAATCCAGAGGTGGTGTTACACTTACTAACTTTTTGTCCCGTGTGCTTATATGCACTGAAGAGAATTCTGTTTGATTACTCTTACGTCCCCAATTTTTCCTTATTATTCTATTAATATTTATTACTGAACATTAATAATTTTGCTCATAACTCATTGATTATAATAGCATTTAAAATATAAAGCATATTTATAACAAATTTGGTGATTTCACAACCGTAATTTTATATTTTCGCTTATCAAACTGGATGACAAAATACATTTTGTGAATACATTGATTTGTCCATGAAACTGAACGTTGAGGTCTAAATCATTTAACGAATTTTTTTTAACAATAATTTATAATAGCATAATACAAATTACTTATGCATCAGAAAAATTTACTCCAAAATAAGAGTGAAACGGTGAATTAGTTTAGACACAGATTCACTTAAGATTTTCTTCAAATGTTGCATTATTAGCATATACTTACATAATTTCAAAGAAATAGCTCTTTTACTTTTAAACTTTTCATTAAGAAAACAATTAAAAATGTAATAATAGAGTAGAATAAGAAAAATATTACTGCTAAATATATTTAAATTCGGTAAACAAAAAGTATTTTATAGGAAAACAATCTATACGATGAAGTGAGAGAAGATCTAGTGATGAAGGCAAACAAACTCATAGGTCTAATCCGATTCAGATTAGATGAATTTGAAAAACAATTTTTATCTGTAGTTAGATAAACAATTGAAATGGCTCTGAAATTATTAAACATCATGAAACATCGTAATGATTTAAAATAAAAGAGATGCTGAATTATAAAAAATAAAACATGACAAATACCAACAAATACCCAGTCGTAAATATATGTAGAAAAAAATATTAGAATAGGAAGAATAATCAATAGATAAAATTTTTAGAGTTCATCATTATCAGAACTGTTTCATTATGGTCTGTTATTAAATCAGTTACCTGATGATCCCATTTTACTGGAGAGAACCATTAAGGATTATAAGAAAATTGATTGATCGATTGGATGATGTGAAGTTTTGAAGAAAAATCATGCTTTGGCTATACCATGTCTCAAACTAGGCTTAAATAGCAACTAAATTGAAATTTAAAGTCAGCTAAAATTAAAACAACTTGGTTAAAACTAAACTACTGCGAAAAATTTACAATTATTAACTTAATTCTAGATTAAAGAAAAAGACGGGAAACTCTTGCTTAAAAATGCTTTACAAGTTATTACGGGTACATGTTTTAGCATCAAATAAGAAAGTTTTAAAGACCTTTAATACTGTTTTCACATTAAAGAGTACTGCTTAGATAAGTAAAATTGGATTATTAGTTTTTTAAAATTGTAAGAAAACACACTATTTCCGGTCTGAAATTTCACGGAATAGTATAATATAAACAAAACTTAACTAACCAAAATAGAAATTTGCAGTAATAATGTCTTTTGTTTAACAATGAAACAAGGAAAACAAAGATTTAAAAAGTTACTTTTCAGAATAATTTTTTCCGATTCATGATGTTTTAATACATATAAAAATCTTAAAACTCTTATAAAATTTAACAAACCTTTCATTGGTATCTTCCCCAAGGCTTTGTAAGGGTACTGAAAATAAAAACAAGCAGTTTTAATTACGATTTATCTATAATTTGTGTAGATAAAGCAGAAGGAACAAAATATTTAAAACTACATTAAAAAAAATTAACGGGCTATTAGCCATATGTGAATTTGTTGCTCATTGACATTTTCCTTGCTTAAAAATAAGGTGTTCTTGAGTATATTTTAGGTTGATATTGAGGTGTATTTGGTGAAATTGAGCTGGGTGCAAAACACAACCTCATATTTCAACCTGAAGTGTATTTTTACACCTGTTCTAAGATTATAAATATTAACCTCTGGTGTTATATTTTTAGCTTAGATTGATATTTTACAACCAAAAGTGTTTAATTTTACACTTATAAGAGGTAGTAATTAAACAACTTCGCATATTTTTTTAAATCCTGAATTATTTTTTTAGTTAATAATAAGTACTTAAAAAGATTTACAGTTTGAGTTAAATCAGTAAGTGTTGCCTATATTATGATATTTATTATAATAATAATAATATATAAATACATGAACTGATAAAAATTATCTACATTTGGTCAATTATCTATACTAAATTTAATAGAATTAGTGAGTGTAATTAAATTCATATGATCATATTTTTAAAAGTTATATATTTTAATATTACATTGAAAATCAAAAGCCTACAAAAATTTCAGATTTTATAACTACAACAAGAACTTTAAACAACATGAAATATTTTATTTTAAGAAATACTCTTTATTGACATGAACTTTCGCAGATTTTTTTTTGTCTCTCATTTTAATGTAGGAACAATATGGATGCATACTTATCTCCGGCTAAGCCTAAGGTCTCCTACCCACGTAATTTACTTTCTAATAAATTACAGTGTCCTCCGATTTTCAATCTTCTTGAAAGAAAAGACAAAGCAGATCTCTCACATGAACTTGAATCAATAGTTTCTCTCTTCTTAATCTACTTTTAAGTTTTCCTATAGTTTTTTCATAGTTATCTCCACTAGGAGCAAACCTTTTAATCAACCCCTCAGCAATGCTTATTTTAATCATGAGTCGTGATAGATCCGAAAAATTATCATAATTTTCCAAATTGGGATTGTTATCAATTTTTTTTTTAAATTGTCCCTAGTTTCGGATACTGCCATAAAAACTGGAAGTTGAATTTTAAGATAACGTAAGAACGTGTTTTTTGACAAAACATTCTCATCAAATATAGAGTATTCTTTCTCTGAACCCGCAAATTTCATGAATTCCTGTTCCAAAAGATTCCAGCAATCAGAATATTTTTCTGATTCATCAAATTTAGTTCTCCATGTTGCTTCATAGACTTCACTGGCATTAAGATTGTGCCTGATTTTCATTTCAGTATCAATATAATTACAATTAATATAAGATTAATGCAATTACAATGAATATAAAATTAATATAATTACAATTAATATACTATTTGCAGTTTATTAATTATTTCATTTTCCTAATTTTCCAGTTCGAATACGATTTTCAGTCAATAGCAATTGTGACATCTGATTAGGTAAAAGTATTGCCTCATATATTATTAGTAAACTTAGTTATATCATTTTCGTTCCCTGCATTTTGGAGAAATGTGCCATGCAGATTTATAATTTGATGAGTAACGGAAAATCTTTATTTGGCTAATATATAAATCAAAAGCATTTATATATGAACGCATCTAGGTCTGATATATCTTAGAACGAAAAGTTAATGAATGAAAATTCTATTAATAAACATAAACATAGATGATAAAATTAAATTTTCTGATTATCCCTATGACAGGAAATTGCGTTTAGCAAAGCTCATTATAAAGAAAAAATAACTAAACGTGCATTTATGCAAATTTTTAACATATTAGACGCTATATTATGAAAGCTAATATATTTTTTACATATAATATTCGGACGAAATTGCTTAAATTAAACAGAATAAGCCGTAGTTTTCTTTCCAATCTAGTTTTCATTTAAAAGGTTTTACAAAAAATGAGTTAAGTAATATTAAGAGTATTTTAAAAATAATTACTTTTGCTTCCTTCACCACATTGCAGGAAAAAGAAAAGCATCAGGGAAAAGGTAAATACTGAGTTAAATTTTAGGAGTGCCATGATCTAAAAAAATTAAAATACATAAAACAGCACTTCCATAATTTCATAATTATATTTAATACGTTTAATTTTTCATTAAAATTATTATAACTAATACTTACTGATTTAGATAAGAACCATTAAAAACTTTATACGAAAATATTCAGAAAATACATACCTGTAAAAATTAAAACACTTGTTTTATTGCACATTCTTAAAAAAAACTACAAAGGAGTTCACACATTTTAGTTCAAATTGAATTGGGGATGCAGGAATTAATGGCATAAGATACAACAGATCAATGAATACAATGTGTACCACAAACTTATCTTCATAAAATACATGGTTTTGCATTAATAATTCAGTAAAGAGTGGGTACATTCGAAAGGTAATAGAATCAGAAGAAAATTGTAAACTAAATAAAATAGTTCCAGTAACGTTATAAAATAGTGCGGAAAGAAGCAATAACGTGTTTAAAAAGATGTACGTCAAAAGTGTAACTGAAATTATATATTATTAAGTTATTAATTACGAATTATTATTAAGTTATAAATTAGCTTTTAAGTAAATATCTATAAAATAATTTTGCACATTATTGGATGTTTCTTTTTCAATATTTTTGACCATTTTCAAGTATTATATAAGAACTATAAGCTTAAAAAATAATTCTGCTTTTCAAAGAAGAAATTACGTTTATTTTAATAAATATTAATATTAGTTTTTTTTAAGAAAAAAATATATCATCATCTCATTTTAAATCTATATTTAGTATTTAGTTTTTTTCGGATAAAATTAAAAATAAAGTATTTTTAACTTTTTTCAGTAAATTCTAGAATAAGGAAAAGCAAGAAGGAATCATTAGCACATTTTATGTTGTTGAATATACATCTTTCATTTATATATATTTTATTCATTTACATATTTTATTCATTTAAATATGTTTTAATCTGCACGGCAAGAAAAAAATCTTATCAAATAATAATTTATCATTTGAAAGTTTTTGGTTCAAAAACTGAAACATGCGTTTTTGGTTGTGGCACGAAACACTATGTCAACAATAAAAGTCTGATTCATGTTAAGCTAAAGTACCTTGCGTCTTTTGGATCATCAAGGCTTCCATGTAAATTACTAATAATATAATTAATTTTCACCCAACTATATTTTAGAAGTAAGCAGAATTTAAAAGGTACTGAACTTGGAGGCAACAGTATCACGCTAAATTCAAATGACATTGACATTTTTATTAATAAATATATTTATTAATAAATATTGACATTTTATTTCATAAAATATAATACACATTTTAGGCAAAAGCGAAAATGAAAATGGTTTCTTGGCTGTAGAATTCAATGAGTCAGAAATATAGCTCTATAGCTCTAAACACAAACTCAAGTATAACGAGTTAAATTTAGGGAAATAACGTTATTTCATATTGTTCGAAAAAAAAGTAAGAAAATGAAAGACAGTGTATAAGAATCTACACTAAGAAACATTTTAATGTATCTAAAAAAGTCATTATCTTAAAAGACTATCCAAACTACTACATATACCTTGAACTTGTGATGGTTGATTATCATGCTTATAAAATATTTCACTAAAATCAATATATCTAGACAAATAGGTCTCTCACGGGGTTTTAATTTTATATAAAGCTCCATTTTGTTAGTATGATCGTAAATACATCGTATAGCTACATCGTAAAATATTCAATATCTTTAATAAAGCGACACAATCAAAATAGTACTTACCAATAATTATCATAAGGATTTTAGAATAATTGATAAAGTTTTCCAGCTTTATACTGCGTGATTTTACTGAAATGTGTTAATAAAATGTGAAGCAATGCCATACACAAGACGCAAATGTCCATCAGTGTCAAAATATGATTTCTTTCCAAAGAGCATTTGACATTTCTTTCTCTTAAAACTCTTTGCATTCGATGATTTATTGGTCACGTTGTCAACTTTTCACATTATGACTTACTTTGATTACACTGTATCTCAGATTCTCTTTGTCATAAAACAATCGAAGACGAAAAAAGCTCAAGATATTCTTTATTTGATATCCCTGCATTTTTTTTTAAATCGAAATACGCATCTTAAGAATTTAAAGCGATAATATATAAAAAAAATCATAACATTAGAGTAATGGTAACAAATTCTTTTTTACTTATGTTTTCATTAGGGCTTTTAATAAAGGGATATAATTTTGACAGGCTAAAATATAATGGTTCAAAAAAGCTGGAATCGGTTGTACCATACAGAATTAAATGAATTTGCATTATGCAAGCAATTTGATTAAAAAAAATAAATTCCAAATATCAAAGAAAAAGAAAAGCGTTTTGCATTGGTGGGACTTTCATTCATTGAAGAAGTAAAAAATAGTGAGAGAATAAGATGTATTAAAATCATTCTACGTGAAACTGTTAGAAAACAAAAGGCAGTCATTAAATTGAAATATAAGAATTACTTAAAATAGTGTACGGTTTTCAGCTTGAAACTATTTTCAATTTTTTGATCTTAAATGTTTTACACCTCTATTCAACACACTGAGAAAAATAATATGGTCAAAACTACCAGAATATGTTACAATTTGCAGTATTTTCTCTGTGGGAACATTAAATTCTCAGCAATTTTTACCGAAGCACTTTGGTAAGTATTTCGGTAAAATAAACAATAAAATATGGTTTAATAATATTTGATAAAATATGGTAAAAGTGATACATTTTGTTAGTTTTACCGTGGCAACTTAGATCATAGCTTAAAAATCATTTATTCAGTTAAATTCACTTTTCCGTTTTGTATTTTCTTCTAAGGATGTGGGATTATGAATTATAATTTTGAGAACCATAATTTAAGGTAAACACCATATGAACAGAAAAACTTCAAAATGAATGGTTTAAATACCGTATATTTTGGTTTGATTAAACAGAATTTCGGTTTTTTTACCAGAAAAGTCATAACAATACAGTATTATTTAACCAAACTTTTTTTCTCCATGCAGAAAAATATTTTTGTGAATGTCGCAAACTTTCATTCGCAAATCAATGCGCAAATCAATTCACAATTCATTCAAAGCAATGAATGACGCAAACTTTCATTCTTAGAAAGCAGTTTAGTTTTGTCTAGGCACTAAAAATAAATTAAGACTTTTAAAGTGCATTGTAATTAATAGTTTTTTAGCGTATGCCTAAAATCACTTCAGATAACTTGTGAAAAAAACACTGTGAGACTACATAAACATTATTGTGATAATTATTAAGAATTCAATACAATCACTTAGGGAAATATTATTTGAAATTAAATCTCTATTTTTTTTCTGTTTGGGATCCTTTCGACATGGCATCAGAAGTCCCTGCACAGGACTAAGCACACACATATAAATGTGACGAATTCGAAGCGGTCAGTGTTATAAAGGGAGAGGCCATAATAGATATTAAAAGCAAACCACAAAAATTAAAAATATTAATGTCAATACTGAATAAAAATTAAATCCTAACAGATCATACAGTATGAAATCAAAATGATGGTTTATTTCAAATGAAGCTTTACAAAATTGCTAGTAACGACACATAAATTAGACACATTTTAAATTATTTAATTAAAAACCCGTAACTATTTCAAATATTAAAGATAATTCAGTAAATTTTTGCCCTAGCATAACCGTAAAAAAGGGAAAATTATTTATACAGAAATTATCAATCAACCTCAGCGAACAAATTAACTTTTAGTTCAAGAATTCTACTTCTTAATTTCAATGCATTAAGTTTACGATGCAGATTTCCTATAGCGATATAAATCAATACTAATATTGTAATCCTTCAATTCTCTACTTGTTTGTTTTAAATCAAGGACATCACTCTCGACTTCTAGAAGTTTGACTTTAAATCTTTACTATGTTTTTAACCATGTTAATTGTTCAAAAATTATAATTTAGGCAATATTAGATTCTCTATTTTGAAATGCATGATTACTATTTTAAATTTCTTTTATTCAAAAGTAGAATTTCTTGATTCAAAAGTAGAAATTTTCAAATTTTGAACAGTAGATTGTCAATTTTGAGCTGTGACGAATACAAATATTTTACTTCATTTCAAATTATGTCATTTTAAAAGACGATACACAATAGCAGAACAAAATTGGTTGAATTTTTCACGAGAAATAGAAACTTCTCATTTTAAACTCATTAAAGAGTTTAAAACTTTTTAGACTTAATTCAATATTTTTTAAATATCATTAAGTAAAATTTAAGAAAAAATTAAATTTCTTTAACATGACATTACTTTTTGCAAAATTCACTTAAATATATGACAATATATGGCTAAGCACGAAAAAGTGAAATTATTAAAGAGCTGAAACTACCGACGACTGTCCTGCCGAAACTTTTGAAGCTGTATTTTCAATACTGAAACCCTCCCTCCTCACTATTTTAATTTTCAAAAATCCAAATCCATTGACCAAAAAGACATTTTTATTCTAAAAAAGTACTTTTATGTGTCTGTTTCTGTAGCTTAATTAGTAGTTAGCACTTATTAATTTGCAAAATTGAGATAACAAATCAGTAAGATTGGACCGTAAGAATTTTTACATATTAAATTTAATATGTAAAAATTCGATCATTAGGACAAAAGCTATTTAACTCGACTTTGTACTCGAGCAAATGAATATTTCTCATTATTTATAATGTTTCTCGTACTATCTCTCTATAAAAAAAATCGTTAGAGCTACCAACACTGTTTTACGTTTCCACTTAACGTTACATTTTCTTCCTCGTGAAAAAGTGATGAGACTTGAAATTTGCAAATAAAAAGATGTGTAGGAAAATATAGAGAAAATACGATGAAATAAAAGTCTTTACAATTGATTATTAGTCAAAAATTATTTGCTGTTAAACTTGTATAAAGAAACTACAGAGTCAGCCTATGAACTTACAATAAATGTGGATATTTAAAAAAAAAAAACATTTGATAACTTCCAGTGATTTTCCATGATTTTTTATCATCATCTTCTTCTTTTATTAAATCAATTTATTATTATTTTTTTGCCTTACGTTAAGCTTTGCTACGCTAAGAGCTATGAGACTTAGAAATGCGAAATGTCAAAGGTATATGGAAGAATAGAATGAAAGTGCAACAGTACAAGTTTGAATCTCGTAGAGGTTTAATCAATTGAAAAACAAATGTCTGGAATTTACTGCTCTATGGGGATATCTAGACAGTAAATAGAGTAGCAAGAATAAGTATTGTAATAATTATCTTGTGTATTCTAATTTAATAAACATTGTTGGCAATTTCATTTTATCTTGTTTTCTTAGCAAACACCCTTATGCATAGAATACAATGTTTACATGCATGTGCAAATTCACATTTAAAATTAATTACTTCTTATAATACTAAAGCACAAGTAATTAATCAAAATCTGTAAATGATTTTTAGAGTAGATATGGAAATTGTAATTTTATAAAACTATTCTTCATATTATTTTAAAAAAAACATTTAGTTTTTTTTATTTATTAATCACTATTTACGTTACAGCGACGAAAAAAATTTAAGCTGTTTGGAAACAAAAAGCATTCGTAAGTGAAATTTACTATTATATACTTTACATGAAGTATTGCAAAATTAATAATAAAAATAAAAATTAAAAAAGATATACTGAATATAATTTCTTTGAAATACGATAGCAAATAATATTTACTTGGCTGTTTTTCATCACGTTACAACAATATATATTCTACTTTGACAAGTCTATTGTTATCATGGCATTTGATTTTTTTCACTTTTTCAAAAACGATTCTTCACACTTTTGAGCTTTTGGAAAGAAACAATTCTTTGTTACTTTCTAGATATTTTTCATTTATTTTTATTAAATACTAGCGGCATACATCAGAAATATATCTTTTTTGTAACATTTTGATTAAATATTTTAAAACATAGAAAAGAAAAATGTTTAAAAAAATATTAAGTTCAGAACAGTATTTATTTATTTTCCTAAAAATTAACTGAATGAATTTATCTAAGTGTGGCATTCCGAAATAAATTATCACAGGAAAAATAATAATTTATAATTTAAAAAAATATGCTTATACTTGCTTTAAAAGCTATTTTGACTGATTGAATTGATAATTTGCCCCAAACATAAACGATATTGCGTACTCTAGATGAAGTGCTATAACCAAAGTATAAAATAGAAGAAAAAACATAAAAAGTAAAGTTTACTGAAAAAAAGGACAGCAAAATTTTTCTCGCATACCATTAGCGTAGAGTTAAATATTTTTAATGAATGAATTCAAATTTATTTATCTATTCATTTATATTTTCTCTGAAAATTAGTATAAACGAAGGAAAATATTATTCACTCGCAAAAAATTGCATAAAAATTAATTTAAAAAATTACATTCAATTCACTTAAAAAATTATAAATTAATTCTGTTTAAAAGTTACTTTCAATTAAAAAGATTAAATTATTCATTAATTCTGTTTAAAAGTTACTTTCAATTAAAAATATTAAATTATTGATCCACTTCTAAGTCAAAAATATTATTTACAGTAAAGTTGCCCTTAAACTATAAAATTTAAAACTTTACTTCAAGTGTAAGGCTTACAAACTGAACTTTCTTTTCAATTTTCCCCGGTGAAAAAACTTAGAAAATAAAAAAGAAAAACTTCGATAATAAAAACTTCGCCAAGTCCGGTAACTGCCAAGTATCTTTTTTTTTCGCTACCTCAAGCTGGAAAATTTTGAATCTGCTTGTAGTAAGTCACAAACTTTCTTAGTGAAATAATAGGGTCATTTCGCAAGGAAGACAAACTTTCCGAAAGGGAAAGATATAAATAAATAAATATTTATAAAAAAATAGCCATCACTTGGGCACCTTACATTTTAAAAACTCCTATTAACCCAAATCAAGCTAAAGGAAACACACTGTTAGAATAATGTATTTGTTTACATTTTTTAATTCAATGAAGCTAGAAAATCACTTATGAATTACTTTATTTTGAGCCTAAAGTTAACCGATGCTAAATTTTTTCTTTTGTAAAAAAATATGTTTGAGACAATAAGCCTTTCTCCTCATACAATACAAAAA